ATGCTTCAGGGTCCGGGTACTCTGGCTGGATCGTGTGCTCTAAACAGTCTATTCACCCGTGTGAAGCAGTGTGGTAAGCACTTCATCCTATGCCCAGCGCTGGTAGGATCAGTAGACTGTTGCTATTCTTCTTGTCATAGCGGTCGCAGGGCCCGGTGTCTCCATTTCGGGGTTGAGCTCCAGGACGTCTCTTCGTGGTGTGCAGTTTCCCCTTCACTTGTGTTGCAGTATTGGTTGAGGAGTGCGCTTGGTGCTGTGCTGGTAGCCGGGATTTAGGTCAGGTATTTTAGTAGTGTGCGTCATTGTTGGATTGGAGATCTCGGCTTTGCTTGTGGGCGCGTGAGAGCGTGTGTCCGAGAGGCCTGGCGGTATCAATTTTGCCTGCTGGCCATCTTGGATGCTTGGGGTACCTGTATGTAGTGCCTGCGTCGCACTGTTGGTCGCAACCATGAGGCCACCTTCCGGGCAGCTTGGCGGTGAGTTGCTCCCCGGTTTCGCAGTGCTGCCCTGAGACCAGCACAGGTCCGGTCAAATATTGTCATAGGGGAAATATGTGCCCTTGTGCAGGTGCTCCGCCTGCTCAGCTCAGGTTGGTCGGCCATTTTGGCTGTACCTCTTCGGTCTGTTGCCCCACCATTTGTTGTGGTTGGTGTGGTCTTGTTCCATGCTGGTCCGTATGTGCTTCGAGACCGGGATGTCCCCCACCAGTCCATGGGGGTGGGGAGGTATGCTGAGGTGTAGTAGCTTGTGGGTTCTTGAGCCGAGGGGAGCGGCCGCCTCCCCCCTGCTTCAGCCCAGGTAGGCCGCATGTGGAACTGCGCTTTCCCGACGTCGACAAGCACCGTGGTGGTGTTGGTTTACTCAGTGGGGCACCCCCAACGTGGGTAGTGCACCCTCCAATGCTTTTGGGCTTGTTAGCCGTCGATTGTACCGCGGGTTCTGCTCACCGGATCGTAGCTCATGGCACATGCGACTGCATGGCTCGGCGGTCAAGCTCCGCCCCTATATTATTCCGTGTTTTATAATAATTCACTTTAGCTTTTTAGTTATGCATAAGATAAAATGGTGACTTTACTCATGGGGAGCGTGGTCTTTGACAATGTGCAGAGCTTTAGTAAAGTGCCATTTCAGTTAAGTTAATTTACCCACAATCCACCAGTACAAAGAATTCCGCAGAAAGAAAACCATAATGGAGGCACCTAGGTATTAAGATCCAGCGAAAGAAAGAAAATATAATAAATATAAATAAAGGCAAGTGGCAATGGGAAGAGTATCATTATTAAGATTAAATTGGCCGCTTTAAACATATCTACAGTTTGCATAAAATGTGACGCGGACTGAGCGTTCCTTTACATTGGATCTGGTGAGCGAATGTAAAATTAGAGGTAAGAGAGGGCGGCATGCAGTTTGGAAATCGTTTGTTTGATAGACTTTGTGCACCGTGTGATTATGGCGCGATTTCCCAATAGCCAGAGAAAGTATTAACACTGCCAACTACAGCGGCTAAAAGTTAATATTTACACTCATTTAGAAGAAGGCTTCCAATATTTTATATTAAGTGATATCAAGCTAGAGAAATCCCAAGCAGGACTAACATAGAAACATAGAATGTGACGGCAGATAAGAACCATTCGGCCCATCTAGTCTGCCCAATTTTCTAAATACTTTCATTAGTCCCTGGCCTTATCTTATAGCTAGCCTTATGCCTATCCCACACATGCTTAAACTCCTTTACTGTGTTAACCTCTACCACTTCAGCTGGAAGGCTATTCCATGCATCCACTACCCTCTCAGTAAAGTAATACTTCCTGATATTATTTTAAACCTTTGCCTCTCTAATTTAAGACTATGTCCTCTTGTTGTGGTAGTTTTTCTTCTTTTAAATATAGTCTCCTCCTTTACTGTGTTGATTCCTTTATATATTTAAATGTTTCTATCATATCCCCCCTGTCTCGTCTTTCCTCCAAGCTATACATGTTAAGATCCTTTAACCTTTCCTGGTAAGTTTTATCCTGCAATCCATGAACCAGTTTAGTAGCCCTTCTCTGAACCCTCTCTAAGGTATCAATATCCTTCTGAA